GGGGGGGGGCGGGCCGTGTGCTCTGCCTCTCACTCAAATCTCACCGACCGTTCACACAAATGCCCCTTCCTGCCCATTGCAGCGAGGAGCCCCGGTGGGCTCCCCAAGTCACATGTGCACATGTGTGTGTGTGTGCGCACATGTGCAGGCACCTTTCTAATTAGGGGGAAAGTTTTAACTTGCCCGACTCACCGGTGTCGTTGGGGTATTTGTCTCCCCTGGTGCACGTCCTTCCATCGTCCTCCTGGATGTAGCCCTCCCGGCATTCACAGCGGTAGCTGCCCACGGTGTTGATGCAGATGTGTGCACACAGGGTCTCATTGCTGGTGGCACACTCGTCGATATCTGGGTGTGACCCAAAGGCAGAGAAGGTTTCAGGGAAGCCACTCCCCATACAACAGGCGTCCCCCACGCCTGCTCCCCCAACCCACCAGGGGTCACACCAACCCAGCTCCATCGCCCGGTATCAGGATAGAGGGGGAGGGGCCCCAGATGGGGCAGCCTGGACGGGCTGCTGAAGAAAGTTCCATACAGGACAAGTCATCTGGGGTCTGCTCTGCGAGGGAGCCAGGCACCCACCCAGGCAGTAGGGCTTCTCCCGCCTCCGGTGTCTCTCCCGGTCGTATCGGTATCCCGGGTAGCACGTGCACAGCACACGGCCAAAGTTATCCGTGCACTGCTGCTCACAGGGAGCCTCCGCACACACGTCATAATCTGAAAAACACACGTGTGAGGATCATCAGACACAGCCATTCCCTGGGCGGCGGTGGGTCCCCTGCCCGGCTCAGCGCCACCTCGGTCCACAGTGGGGAGCAGCGGGCACCACTGCAGAGTCAGAGGCAGAGAACGCGTGTGAGTCTGCCGGTCACCCCACCCTCGTTGGCGTCTGCCACTCACCCAGACAGCAAAGGGGCTCGGGTGCCAGGCTCTGCGGCATTATCTGGGGCCTGTTTTGTCTGGCCCCCCAAGTACTGTAGAGCTGGGGGCTGCTTCCAGCTGAGCACTAAAGAACAGCCAGCCCTCATGAGGGGTCACAGTGGGCTGTGGGGCCTGGGAGTCAGGCAGTCTCCGGGAGCGGGGGGGAGGTGGGGACCAGGATGGGATTGAGTTATCAGAAAGCTGACATGTGTGTGCGTGTGGGATCGTGGGCTGTACATGTGTGTACTGCAGGGGTGGTGTTGCATGCTGAGAAGGCCTGGGTGAGGGCAAAGGGTTGGAGACCTCCTTCCAGCCCTAAGCCTGTGCAAATTGGGGTGATTACTCTGTTACTCATAAAGAATTAAGGCTTCTCCTCCCCTGTATCCTTACCAACTGGGATTTAATGAGCCTCTGAAGAGACTTGGCCTTAAGTCAGAAGCTCAGCTGAACAGTCTTCCAGGCTAGATCCAGCATCTCATTAATCACTGCGCTATCTTCCCCAGGTGCTGACAGATAAACGAGCCCTGGACCGGCAGAGAGCCTGGCTCTGCCGCAAAGGCGGGCGGGAGAGGCGGGCTGTCACCCCGGCAGCCTCGAGCCGGGCCATGCCTCCGGTGGGGCAGAAAGCGCCTCCCACGCGCCTCCAGGCCTGTCCCCTGCGAGTGTCCCTGCCCCACGATGACCTCCTGCATGAAGCCTCACCTCCAGGGACCGGGGCCCTGTGGGTTTTCACTGTGGCAGGCGATAGGCTGCCCGGCTGGGCCAGGCCCACGGTCCCTCACAGCTGCCATGAGAGTGGGAAAGGACAGCGAGGTCTTGCAAGTTCTCATGCTGGTTGATGCCCAGCACAGCATATTTAAAAAAAATATCCCCCTCAGGCCCTCCCTGGTGGCGCAGCAGGTTAAAGCACTGCACTGAGAAGCTAAAGCCACTTCCGCATGAGTTCGATTCCCGCCTGCCCCGGAGGTGACCACATGGCGCAGCAGACCTCTCCTGACCCGCCCGCTGCTCCCCTCAGCAGTGTGCTTCGTCCATCTGCCTGTTCTGCTCCCCACTCTGTCTCTGGTGAAGCCTCTCACCGCCCCTGAGCCTCTGGCCTGTACCCCAGTTCTGTATGCACAAATAAATCTTTAAAAAAAAAAAAAAATCCCCCTCATCAACTCCACCAGGCCTGCTGCTGGAGGTACCTCCTCTCCCCACCTGCCCCCATGAGTTCTCTGGGTCGCCCCACCCTCTTTGATAGTTCTCATGTTGCCAGCACAGTGACGTTGCAACTTTGGCCAGACCCCTGCACCATCTGCTGACCTGTTTCCACATGTCATCACCTTACCTTTACCTGTTCCCAGAGCCCTGTCAGCTTGCCTCCAGCTGGGAGGGCGGGCGCTGGGCCTCTGCTGTCTGTGCCTGTGAGGGAGTCTCACCTCATGCATTTACACCAGCAGAGCTCATGCTCATCCCGGCAGCAGCGTGCCTCCTGGATTCTGTGGTGCCTTCACTTAATCTGGGTTTATTTATAAAAGGAAAGATGTTTCCTGTGGCCAATCTGTACTATAATACAAAAAAAGCTACTCTTTGCTGACTGTGGGCATAATACTCAACTCACCCGGCCTTTCTTGATGACCCTGTTTCTGCTGGAATTAAAATGAGGATGTTGCGTGTTTTGGGGTGCCAGTTATTTTTTTCTCTTCGTTCCAACTTCTCCCTTCAGGGAATGACTACCCTGTGGCTGGAACTCCAGAGTCCACCTCTGCTTTGTCAGCTACTGGCCTCCAAGGCACAACTAACGGTATGTAATGAGAGGGGAGGGACACGACAGACACCCAGGAAGACACACAGAGACACACGCAGGCGCAGATACACACCCCGGGAGGCTGGGAGATGAAGAAAGCGCCCTTCCTGCCTCCTGTCCTGGGAGGCCTCATCCCAACCCCTTTCTCCATCCCATGAGCAGCAGATTGTTCCAAGGGCGGCGGCAAAATCCAATTTGCATTTTCCAACGCTTGCATGCAGGCTCCTGACACCCCATTTCAGAGATGCCACCCTAAAGTCTGGGTGTCCCGCCAGGGGTCACCCCTCAGGGTTCTTCAAAACAGCATCGCCTGGCAGCGCCCCCTACAGAAGTTCTGGGTCCCCACCTGGTGGGGCCTCCTGCTCCTGGCTCCACTTCTGTATCTTCTCTTGGTTCCCATGGCTCCAGGTGGTAGCTACTGGCTGTAGTTCTTACTTCTGTGATCCTCACTGTGGCCCTGCAGCCCTTCAGATCTCATCAACCAGCAACTCTTCATATTAAGTTCTATGCAACAAATGGTGATCGTTCTATTTCTGAACTTAATTCTGACCTACTCAGTCCATTTCCTGCAAACCTATCACCATTTAATGTTAGGGGCTTCTGGGCTCCTCTAAGTCCCCTCTTAAAATGCCTGGAGGCATCACACCGTCTATCAGTTTAATCCGAGAAATTTCTCCGAGATCTCTGGCCTGCTCTGGGCAGGACGCTGAAAGTCTCCTAGGTCGCTAAACCTGAATCTAGAGCACCAATTTTGACACACCCACACTCTTAAATGGCAGCTAACACTCATTAGTCAGCATATTTGTTCAGAAATTCTAGTTTCTTTTCAATACCTGTGGTGGTTCATTTTATGTGCCAATCTGGCTAGGCCACATTACCCCGCTATTTGCTCAAATATTCTTGCAGATATTTCTGTAGATGAGACTAACATTTCAACCTGTAGACATAGTGTAAAGTAGATTGCACTCCATAATGGTGGTGGGCCTCATCTAATGAGTAAAAGACTTCACAGAAAAAGACAAACCTCCACTGAGGAAGAGGGAGGCCTACCGGCGGCCTGCTCTTGCACTCACCCTGCAGATTTCAGACTTGTCTGCCTCTACCGTCTCATAGGGCAAAGCCTTAAAATCAGTCAACCAACCTCTTTCCTCCCCACCTCCCTTTCTTACCCATCTCTCTGAGAATCCTTTTCTGCAATTCTACATTTATACTTAGCATTCTTTAGTGATAAAAACATTTATAATTGGTATTATCTTTTTCACAAACTTTGCCTCATCCTCATTTTAAAACAATAAACTTTAAAAAGTATCTTAATACAAAGCAGTTGAGCAGAGTCCATTATGGCAAAGCAACAGTCAAGCACTTGAGAGCGCTTTTCTGGAAACACTCTGTTCCAGGTTATATTACTAATAGGTGCTCCAGTCTCCGTTTACGGTAAGTTTTAGGGCCTCGAAATTTGAAACCGTAACATTGACATTTAGAGACGTTCTAAGTATGTGGTATCCCATGTAATATGTTTTTAATTAGATTGGGCAAGGTTGTTAGCTGGAACCTTAAATTGATGGCCTAAACTTACTTTTCTCTCTGTATTTGCCAAATTGAAATATAAAGGACACAGCTATCGACTGAGAAAGGCTGGCTTATAAAGGAAAGCAATTATTTTGACCTTTTGTGATTTTTTCCACCTTACTTTAACCAACAGAATTGGCTGGCAGCGAGAAACTCAGTCTTGGAGAAACCCAAGGCCACATTAAACATCATGTGTAAAGTCATTTCAACTTTTCTGAAGCAGTTCTCAGAGGTCACAGATAAGGTTTAATGAAATTTTCTGTCCTTCCATCAAAGGAAGCAATAAAGAGGAAGGATTTGTTTATTGATCTCTGAGACATAGAGCAACATAAATTGGCTTGGGGACTCTAGATCTCTTGAAACCTGGTTTCTTGGGCAACAGCGAAGGATTGCACATTAACCACCTCTCACAGCCCAGCCCTGGGCAAACTAGTCTCCTGCTTTTCAAATAGCTCTTGTGTTTTCTGTCAGTGCTCTGCCTGGAATCCACTGTCTTCATGCCTCCTCCTTAAGTCCTGGGCAGCCCTCCTGGGTGACCTCATGGAACCTCCCCTTCTTGAGACCACCTTGGTCCTCTGCCCTTGTGGGCTCTTGCTGCCCTGAACACCTCTACTGCTCACACTGCAGTTATATTAGCAACAACAACCAACTAGTATCAGGCACTTCGCAAGAGCCAGCCTCAGTTCCCAGCACTTTATACGGGGCAATAGTCTTAAAACCACCATGAATCAAACACCAGTACTGTTACTAATGTAATCGCCATAAAAAGGGGAGCTTCTGGCCCTCCCTGGGGGCGCAATGGGTTAGGAAGCAGCACTGCAAGCTGGCCACGGTCACTTAGTGCAAGTTCGATTCCCGGCACCAGAGCTGACCCACAGGGCGCCGCAGACCTCTCCTGACCCGCCCGCTGCTCCCCGCAGCAGTGTGTTTCATCAGTCGGCCTGGGAGATCTATGGAGTCAAGGCATGCAGAGACTCTTGGAAGACACATGCAGGACACTAAAAGGGAGGCTGACAACGGCAGCTGTTACCTGGATTTATATTTTGATTTTTCTCCTTCATCCCACACTTGCTTGCCCCCTTTTCTCGTTTTCCTATGGTTTCCTGCCAGTAGGTAACTTAGACTGTGGCAAGATCTGGTCCAACTCAAGTGGTGGGGCATGTACCCATGAGGGGATGGGCAACTTTAGGTGTTTCAGAGAGAAACTATATCCTTACTCTTCTTCCTTTTCTACGCACAACATTCTATTAAAGTTCATTCAGAGTAAGAGTATGCTTTGTCTTTATGTGGTCGATGGCAGAACCCATTTAGAGTATGCATGTTTGGGGGCACTTGGTACCCCAGTCTGTACACTAACAAAACTCTTCTGCAAGAACTAAGCTCTAGAAAGTAGCCTGCCCAAGTTCATAGCTCCAAGGTCACAGCTAGAGGTGTGTTATATACTCAATGTTTGTGTCCTCGTGAAATTCATATGCAGAAAGAGTAACCCCCAAGCTGGGGATGGGGAAGGTAGGGCCTTGGGAGGTGATTATGATGGAGCCCTAACTGGAATTAACGTCCTTATAAGGGAACTCTCCACTTCGTGACACTGTACAAGAAGACAGCCCACTACGACCCAGGAAGCCTCACCAGACACTGAATCTCCTGGGACTTTGGTTTTGAAACTCCCAGTCTTCAAAATCACAAGAAATAAATGTTAAGTCACTTATCCTGTGGTCTTTCCATCAGCACAACCTGAACAGATACAGATGGCCACAGTGCAGAAATTTCATTAAAATCCAGTTCTTTCTGATTCCACCTATCTGGCTCAACTCGAGGGGGTGTTCCTTGGGGGGCTGCATCCATGTGGTATTTCACTGTGCCTCTTCAGTGCTGGGCTGAACAGTGTTGGCTGATGGTCACGTGGCAAGGCTTCAAGGTTAGCTCCTAAAGCAGGTGGGGGGGGGGGTAAAGCTGTGTTCTAACTGTGTGAAATGAATAGGAAACCACAGCCTATTCTGCATATAATGTACAATACATGAATTACTCAATGCAGGTGTGTCTATGCAGGTAATGATTTAGAGCATGTGGCATGTAACCAAATCAGCATTAGATGAATTTAACGCCAGGAATAAGAAAAACACACACACACAGATAATCAAACACAGATAACTCACATGCATTCCAAGTACATCTGAACTTTATAGACTTCTAATGTTCAGTTATAACTATAGTGAGAAGATATCATATTTTATATTACTCACCTTCTGGGATGCATTGTCCGAGAACAAATTTATATCCTTTGCAGCACTTTTTCCTAGGAGACAAACAAAAATGCATTTTCAATATCATATGTTATATTAAAATATAGTTTTCAGTTAAATTGGTTTTGTATGAAATTATTGTAACAAGAAAAAACAGAGCCATAAAGGAAAGTGAGGGTAGAGTATTTTTAAGGTTGTCTGAGACATAAAAGGGTAAAAATATCAACTCCACATGAACTTACCTTCCAGTAGCGGGAGATCCTTGCCCACAAACTGTAAGACATTAATCCTTTGAGTCCCATGAAGTGAATTAATGACCTGAGAGTTGATGATTAGGAGCTTATAGGATATAAATATATGGAAGGACCTTTGAGGCTGGCCAGGCCCTCATCCTACAGCCTAAAGAGTCACATGACTTGTTAACTATACTAACAATTGGCTAATGGTAATAACAACAATTACTACATACAGACACTAATATAATTAGCTACTTTGGTAGCTAATTACTATCAGGCTGGGACTAGAAGCTAAGCTTTGTGTGGCTTTAGTTTGCACCCGTGAAACATAAGGACTGAAAGGCACTTAATGACCTGAATTTGACAAACAGCAAGCAGGCAATTCCCGACGAATAATCAAGACTGACATCTCAGTCTGAGGCAGAGAAATGTGCTGTCCGTTGAAAATGCAAATCCCACTGGAGAGATCATGCCTCTGGTGTGGAGCTGTGAGTTCCTAATAGCCCAACGCCCGTGCAGGCAACTATAAACTGTGGACCAAACAGAAGCAAACGCCATCTAGTCTCGAGGGTAAATGAAAGCAGGTGACTTGGGGGAAGGTGAAGTTGGGGCGAACTTAGCTGGAAGCTAAGTTTCCTGCTCTTCCTTGCACAACTCAATTGTGGGAAACTAAACACAGAAAAAAATTGCAATGCATTTTTTTTTTTTTTTTTGCCTGAGCAAACAGGACTGCCTGGGACAGGAGAAACTGAAGAGGAATTCTGGGAAGGAGAGTGCTAGAAGCGAAGGGCCCCAAAGTCTGGGTGTAAACTCAGCCCAGGCTTCCAGAAAGAAGTGGGGAATGGCCCCAAGCCAAACAAAGGGGTAAGCAAAGAGTGGAGTTGCACCAACTGTAGTCGAAGCAGCACGAACCTTCTGTCTAACCAACTTAACTGTGAAAGAAACCATTTGGTGAACAGATAGACTCAGGCCCTCGCCGATGGCAAGTCCACACGTGAACCACATCACACTCAAGGGAAAAGACCATCAGAGGCGCCAGGCCAAGGTGACCCACGTGCTACAAAAGTTCTTTGATGGTTAAAAAAAGGTGGGGGTTGTGTTATTTTTGCTAAACAATACCCAAAAAATCCATTTTGAAGGTAGGTCTTGAATGATTAAGTCCTGATTTTTTTTTAAATGAAAATGAGGGAGATCATGGGCAAAAAATTAGTAACTCCTGCCCATCCCAAGGCTCCAGTCAGTCACTGGAGCGTCACCCACAGCCCACGCAATGGGCCAAAATTCTTTCCAGGTTTCTACTAGTTAGGAGCTTTGGTGGTTCCGTGGTAGAATTCTCACCTCCTCCCCCCCCACCCCCCACTGCCTTCCCCCAGGGTTTCGACTAGCAGCTGAGCGCACAGAAATTGTGAGAAGCCTGTAAAACTTAGAGGAGGTTACAAAAGAGAAACTACAGATTATCTAAGCTTTCTCCTGGCTTAGTGACTCTGGACACAGATTGAGGAGCGGTCTGGATAGGTGGACCCCAGGCTTTATAAGAGAGACAAGCATCCCTTGAGGAGGAGCTGGGATGTGCCATGCAAATTCATTCCTCCTGCAGAGGCCGCAGGAGAAAGGGCAGCCGATACTCTCACTAGGAGCTAGGAGAAGAGTGCACAACTGGTAAATATCACATCTGGTAAGAGAACGCTGCGGCCCAATGGTGTGGAGGAACACTGCTCACGTGCAGCCTAGCTGCGGCAGATATCTGACTTCAAAAGCTTAATAAGTGGGCTTC